GAAATTATTATTTTTGTGGGACGTGTTGGAATAATATGTCATTATTTATCGATTTTTTTCACAATTTTACTATAATTGTGTGTCGAAAAATTATTTCGGAAATATAGTACATACCTAATTATAAGTATCTTATTATTTACTTATATAAGTACCTAGCTATTTTATTATTATTGACTATTGTCATATTTTAATTCACTTGGTAATCGGAAAACTAATGTTAATCAGATTCGCATCGTAAAAAATATGCGTATTATAAGTGTTTTTGTCGAGTAAATGAAAGCAAATGGTTTTTTGACACTAAATAATAAGAATGGGATGGAGTTTGTTCATCACCAAAACGAATGTATATATACATGTATACCAAGAGTATCAGTCACACTAAACCGTTGGACAAGTCGGTTGGTTATGGGAATCATGAATCATGACAAATGTATAATATATTATTAAATTTGTCGCGAGAGGAGCAAACATTAATTCTGCAGTGAACGATAAACAGTATTGACGCAAAATTACCGCCAAATCGATTTTAATACCAAACCGTTTGCGCTTGGTATCTCCGCTTTAATGGAAAAAGAAACGAAAACGCTTTTAAGGAGTCTAGGTAAAAATCGTCCCCGCAACTAAATTTTGGCCACCGCACTCTGTCCGGACTACGAGTAAAGTTCATCGATCGAATCGTGTACTGGACATATTATATAACTTTTGTAGGCCCGCCATTTTCCATCGGCAGGTTTAACTTGTTGCGGTATCGGGTATATGACAACAGTTGATGATAGCGTTCTAAGACCGTGGTTCTAGCTGTTGATATTTTGATAACAGATGATATGCTGGTAACAGTGGTAACCGGCTAATATACAATATCATAACCAACGTACCGCATTACCGCCGCCGTTTGGTGTCGGTAGTCGGTGTTTCATGAGTGGGAAGGTAGTTGGCGAGACGCGAACAAAAGCGTCCTGCGTCATAGCAAATACTATAAATGATAATACGAGAAAGTCAATGATAATGTAGCGAAAACTAATGCCCCCAGTTTCACTATTGGTGGCCTACCTTTGCCCCTTATTATTATTATTTTTGTTCATTAATAGTCAATAGACAAACTAACAAAGAGGATAGTAATAATATTTATTATTTAGTTGAGGTAATATAAAAATAATTTAATGCACTTTCAAACTCTATTATATATTTAAAATTTACATAATAATGATAAATAAATTATTTATAAATATAATAAATAAATACATATTAACCAATATGTGTTATAGACTATAGTGATATAAAATAGGTAAATATTTATTTTTATGAATGGGTAATTTTTTTAAHCTTTTTGTTAGCTGTTTTAATTTTGTATTTGGCCATATTATTATTACAACTTTTTATATAACTATTAATTAAAACATTTATACATTTTTTGATGAATTTAAGTTAACATGTATTACATATATTTATTGTCCTTATACATACAGTCTGAATCAAATAAATAATTTTACTTCTTACATTGGCTTTTGATTCCAATAGCATTTTTTGAATATTTTCTTTAAATAAACAAGTCATTCTTTTACAAAAATCAATCGTTGAATCAAATGGATACAGCAAATCACTATTTTCATATTCTTTCATTTCAGTGAAAGTAGTACACGGGTTGAATACAGCTGTGTTACTTTTGATTGATGCATTATTCAGGATGTTCAAGTTTACTGCAAGCCCATCCTGTGACATAAGTTACCTACTGCAGATGAATTATGTGCATCCATGAGTATACTGTTGATATTTGTTGATGATAAATGTACATCTAGTATATTGTTATAAGTATCTTCGTCATTTTAAATTGTATTATCCCATGTATTAAATTAATTTACTTGTAATTTAATTGTTTTTATTTCATTAAGTTTGGTTAAAAATTGGCAGGTATCCATTTCAAAATTTCCTTCTTCTATACTATTAAAAATGTCAAAAAGGCTATCAAAAAATGAGATACATTTGGCAGTGTATGTTGCTTTACTTCTCATTTTGTTCAATGCCACTAGTGTTAATATACCAGATCTAACTGTGTGACTTAATGTTTGGGTAGCCAAACAAACCTGCATTGGGGAGAATGGTGGTAGATCCATGTGAATGGTTTTTAATTTTGGTGCTAATCTCAAGCTTTTATTTTATCTAAATTATAAATAAAAAGTAACCAAATCTTGCCAGGAATATACTTCGTCATCATTGGAAATGTCATACTTTTTAAAGTTATTTCTTACAGATTTTATAAGGTGCGGGCTATCATGGAAAAAATAAATGTTTTTACCTTCAAAATTAATGTAAGGTCTTGTATAAGTGACTCCAAACAAATTACGCATGCACAAGTTATTCGTTCCTTGATCACAAATCATCACTTTTGGTATAAGTCCTATTTCTTTTAATTTTGTTATTGTATGTGCAACAATTTGTTTAAGTCTATATCCTTTGACTGGTCCACTTGAAAAAAAGTACCCAATAACTTGTTTCCAAGGAGTAATGAGACCTTTTATCATAATAACTAAGGCTTGGTCACAGTATTTGATATTCTTTAAATCAACTATTGAATTATCTGCAAAATCTTCAAAACCACTAAATAAATCATTTTTCGAATTGTATGAAATTAATTTTTTGATTGACATTTCATCAATGATTATAGACACTATAGTTTGTCCTTATCTTCAACAGACGTAAACTTAGTTTTAAGTATTCAAAAATATTTGAGTTCAATCCACATGAAACATCTAATAATTGAAGCCAATTCCTTAATGATCGTACAGTTGGAAGACATAACCATTTCTGCACGAATTTATATGATTTTGGTGAATTATAATATAAACTAAGGGCAAATAAGTTTTCATTTTCCTTGTACCTTAAACCTTTCTTTTTCAACTGACTAAGTCTTAGTTGTGTTTGTAAAATAAAATTATTCTTTATGGTATTTTGGAAAAGCTTTTTTTGTTTTTCCAAAACATTTAGACTTTTCTTTTTAAGCATGGCTATTCTCAATTTTTTTTTTGGACACTARTTTTTGGTAAGCAATTATTTTTAATTTCAATGACTTTTGTCTTTCTGAGCATAATTGTTGATCATGCATATGGTGTACATGTAATTTGTAACCTTACATAATACAGTATTTTTAAAATAATTAACTAATAGGTACCTACTATTATTAACAGTGGTTAGTAACTACCTACCTACTCTATATACGGTGTATACTCCAAACATAGGTTAGGTTAAAACTTAGTTAGCACTCAAAACTTTTTCAATGAAATTGTTAAAATCTAAAATTTACTTACAACACTCAACAATCCATTATCCATAATCTATCCCAAATCAAATAAGTAATAATATAATAAAACAAATACATATATGCAAAAAATAATATATTAATTATAGGTATTTACTATGCAGTATGCCAGTATAATAATTAATAAATTCAAAAGTATGATTGCTGGGAAATTKTTTTGATCATGTTACTCATTGCCATTTTGTACTAGATCACATAATTATGCTTATTGTAAACATTATTACAGATTGTATATTTCATAATAAAATAAACAAAAAATATTGAATAATAAATATTAGGTATATTTTATTATTTAACTAATTAATAATAGGTATATTATAAATCTAAAAGTAACTTACAAGCATTATTTCGATAAGTTATGCTATACACAGACACAAAAACAAAAACAAAAATATCACACATCATTGTAAAATCAATACTTTCATCACTTCGTTCAGAATCTAAAAAACACACTTACGTTTCTTAATACTATTTTCTGAAGGTGTCGGTAGTGGCTTAACAGTAATAATATTTGGAGATTTCAACTCAGGCTCTGACTCAATAAAAAGTATACGATGGCATAATTTATTCATTGACTTATCTTGTACTTTAGATTTACCTACATGTTAATTTAACACAATGTAAATTATAAAATAGTGCAAATAGTGCAATCAAATAATAAATAGGTAATTRTAGGTATAAAAAAAAAAATAGAGCTAACCTATTAGGAATTAGTAATGGATTGTACCACACGAGGACTCAAAACTATAGGTAATGATGTTAATACAAACGGTATAGAGTCTTTGAACAATAATCTGTACATATACAATATACATATATAATTTGAAATAATTAGGAAATTAGATAATATTTACTTAATTAATAATTACTTAGTTGACTTAATGTCTTAATATATAGTAAAATTAAGGATTATACTATGTCAATGTTGAATAACTCACGTTTTATTTCCTACACCTTTCCAGATAATATAACCAGATGATTTRAAATGATCAGAATATATAACTCGGTTTTTGTTTAAAAATCTAGCACCTTGAGTTTTAAAAACATCCATAATTTCTGAACTTCCACACCACTCGACCCATTTTTTACACCTATATTAGTTTATACTTCAATCATTAAATGCAATTTCTGGTTGTATAAATATATACAAAATTATATTACCAAAAATAATATCAAACTATTTAACCTACAATTGTTATTTATTTTTATTTAGAAACATATTTTTCTGTACAGAAACTTACAATTCYTCATTGGCTGGAAATCTATGAAAAACCAAGTTTGGATTTAATTTCCCTGTATTGTAACAATATTTTGTTGAACATGACTTTTTAGAACACATTTTCATAAGTTTTTACAAAACTAATGAAAACAATTTACAAAATAAATAGTATCTATGAAGTATAAACGTAAACTAATTAACTACAATTAGTACCTATACATCTTAGTAGTTAGTCTCATACTCTCATATAAGTTTTAAGTACAAAGCAACCATTGCTGTTTATTGATAGACGATAGTGCTTATACAGTTATACGAAAGCCARTGGTTATTTTTGTTTACAGCCATTTTACATTTTGGCGGCATTTATTATGTAAATTACGCCTGGGATATAGGCAAAAACAGTACAACTGAGAACTCCGTATGTCATTGCTGATTATCATTGACTTTCTCGTATTATAGTATTTGGTTATTCGTTGTTTCAGTACTGCTGGACATTCACATTAATATAATTTTCTCTCGTTCGTCGTTAAGTCATCACACTTCAATACACTGTATTTTCGCCATCTCGCGTGCAAAATATTTTGGAAAAACGCAGCACACAAGGTAGAGTGTTCTCTTTATTTATTTTCTCTTCCGTATGTATGTGATCAATCATAATGGTTTTCGCAATTTCCATCGTATTCGTGTCTCGTCCGCTTTTCCGGCGACATCGATCGCCTGGGTTCCATATTTTTTCGTTGTCGTTTGGGCGCTATTTACGTAACTATAATAGGTATTTTTTTGTAGTTAAGTTGACGTGAAGGTTATTGCGTGGCCGCCGTAAAAGGCGTTCCATCTGGTATCATTCGTATCGTGGCCGTGATGTGGACAACTTTACTGTTTCCGCCGCCTTGCCCTCCTCCACCTCACCATCCGACTGTCACCACTTAACGACTTAAGGTCTATTCACACTACGACGGAACGGAGACGGATCGGAGTCCGTCCGGTACTCGTCCGTGCACGGAAAAATATTGTTTCTGTACTTTGAAATATAAACATTTACATTACGACGGAACGGGCTAACGGGTCGTGGACGGGCGCTAAAAATATTCTTCGCGACGATTCTTTTTATGGGTATCCGTACAGGTTTTTCTTTGAATCATTGTAGTGGGAATGAGTCACCAGGCCTGATACGGATGAAAACAAATTTTACTATTTCTAAATTATTAATTATTGATAATTAAATATTATTAGTACACTATCAGTTGTCACTAAAGTCAGACGTATCGWATATAGGTCTCTTAAATCTTGTAATTTTAAAATGAACGCAGAAAAATCAATTGAATGTGTGAGAGCATACTCAGGGCTGTACAATTTAAGTGATAWAAAGTATAGTGATAGCACTTGGAAAGATCATACTTGGAAAAGTATAGGAGACCAACCAAGTATATTAAAAAAAAATGTATATATACAGCTATAATGCATACATTATACTTTATAGCTATTGTAATTAAGTATTAATTTTATAAATGAATACCGAGAGTATACTTAAATAATGTATGATACAAAATTACATTTTAAAAAGGTAAATGAAACTATTGAATTAATTTTCTTATTTTATTTACATTTATAACTTACTATTTCTAATTCAATAGGTTTTTAATTTATAATATATTAATAAGCTTAGTACCTAACCTAACCTAATTTCGAGTGCATAAGTATTCCACCATCGCTATTTTTTCCATACACACCTACATCTATTGTTATAAAATTATAGTGCGCATCAACGAGAGCCAAGAGCACAATGGAAAATGTTTTCTTGTAGTTAAAATACAATGATCCGCTATTGGGCGGGGCTTGGATAACTATGTGTTTGCCATCCAATGCTCCAATACAGTTCGGAAAGTTCTAATGTGTCCAGAAATCTTCAGCAATTTCCTTCCATTTGCTTTCTGTGGGCTCCGGCATAACTTCAGACATCAGAATTTTTATAATGGCTTTACAATGTTATCAATAACAATCATATAAACAGTTGAATGGCCCAGACAATAACTAAACGAAATGGTTTTTATAGGGAGTCTCCAGTGGCCAAATATCTAATAAAAATAATTTTTACATTAACAAATAAAAATTTACATAACAATGGAGTAATATTATGTACTCATTTTATRCAATAATAAATATTATATTTTGCAAGCCTGGGAATTAAGTTAGGTTAGTTTGATAGAAAAAATGTTTAAAAATTTAAAGTTAATAGTTATCCTTAATTTTTTTTTTGAACTTAGTTAAGTTAATAAAGTTATGGAAACTTATAAACTTAGGTTGTTTTTTTGTAATATAAATAAAATATATATACCTAATAAGATTATTAATATCTTATTTTATTGAGAATTGAAAATTTTGTTCCTAGGTATATTATGATATAAGTATTTATTTTTATATAGATGAAATATTATTCATTATTATTATTTAAGTATATCCGCGGTATGCTACAGTGTGGTATGATGGTGTATATCAGCGTTTCCCAAACCATGGGTCGAGAAATTTTTTTGATGGGTCGCGACTCGCGGTTAAATCAAATATCAATTGCATTGTTATTTCCCAAAAGATATTCGTGACGATTTTCAATGGATTGAAAATCTTTTTACTGTTTCTATTGAAGAGTTGAACTTCAATACGCTTCTTGAAACTCAGATTATTGATCTTTCTTGTGATAAAACTTATGAACATAAATTTAAAAATGAAACTCTTGTAGATTTTTGGTGTGCAGTGTATAATGAATATCCAGAACTTTCAATTAATGCAATAAAAAAACTATTACTTTTTCCTACCACTTATTTGTGCGAAAAAGGATTTTCTACCATGGCCAATATTAAAACAAAACAAAGAAACAGATTAGATATCACACATGACATGCGCATCAGTTTATCTGAAATTGTACCCCAGTGGGAAATTTTATGCAACAGTGTCCAAAATCAAAATTCACACTAAATTTTCTATTAGGTATACTAATTTTTTGTATTTTTTTATAATTTATTTTATTTATTTATTAATTAAGTTATTATTATCCAGTATATTGTATTCGTATTGTATTTTATAAAAAAAACTCAATGATAAAATGGATTATAGTAAAAATCTTATTTATTTAAGGCATACTTTTTTAAGGGGGAGGGGGGGGGGTCGCGTACATAATAAAGATTAAATGTATGGGTCGCCATTGCAAAAAGGTTGGGAAACGCTGGTGTATATGACGTATTTTATTAATTAAAGTATTTTTTTTGAACTATACTGGTATAGAACAATAACTAAATTTAGTTAAATTTTTAATTTCTTATTTTAATACATTTTCAACAAAAATGCATCATGGATAATAATTTTATTACTTAATTAATTTATAAATTAATTTAAATTGAATTTTATTAAAAGTAACTAGTTAATTTAGTAATGGTAAAAAACAAATAGCATTTTCCATCACTACTAGTTAGTTATATCATTATATTATCGATAGGGCTAGGATTTATATGCATTTGCATGTTTTTTTCCTTTAGTCCAAATTGATTGGTTGTTAGATTTGTCCTCGATTTGGCTTATTCTCGTTTAAATCGCACCAATTTTTTTTTGCATATTTTGGACATAATGCATATAATTACATATTCATATTTTTTTTTAGAATTCAATATTTTTTAACTAACATTTTTTAATTTTTACAAGTTATTGTTAATTTTAAATGGTACTTCACGAAACTGACAGTTTTTGGTTTATCCATTGAATTTTTGTAAATATATAGCATAAATACTACCTATTTTATCTTAGGTCAGATGATATCCGTTTGTTACCTTAACGTTGGACGGACGACCAGTAGAATTACTTACACATTGTATTACACATTATATTATATATTGTAATACATATTATAAGTGTTTTTTGATTCAAAATTAACATATTTCAAGTTAAGATTTATATAGTATTAGAAGTTTTAACTAAAATTAGAACTAGCTAATATATTCCGTTATATTCCTTCAGTTTAAACTTTAAATTGTCATCTTTTATAAACCTTGATGCAATATTAGAYTTGTGTGCACTAACTTTATGGRATAATTTTGTGGCTTATACAGAGTATCTAATTTTTAATTTTTATAGTATATTAATACAAATTTGGTTTCTTTAAATTCTTTGCTTCTTGATTCATTGGCACTTTAAAACCTTCATGGCCAGAGAGCAAATAGTATATTTTTAGGATTGATAAATTTTGGAATTTTTTATTAAAATTAGCCTCAAAATTATCATATTGCATGTCGTAAATCTTGCTGAGAGGCATCTGCACACCATACCACCCTCATAAAAATTCCTAGATCCTAAAACACACTGTATAAACAATTCTATAAATCATTATCTTTTATATCTAGAAATTTTAAATTCATAAATATTAAAAGATTAATTATGTATTTTAACAAATAGTATCTTTTTTATGGAGTAAATTTATTTTGAAGATGTATAATAACTTATATTTGTGTTTTTTATTTTTAATAGATGGCTCCATCCCCAAATCATAAACCTGTATCACAGACATTAGCAACAATTTTACAATTTGAGCAAAATATCATTCATATGTCAAACGGATGTCCAATCATTTTGAATACTTCATATCCTATAACTGAATCTGATAATCCACTTCAGYCAATATCCAGACCAATGTCTGATGAAGAAACACCTTCTTGGGATTTGACTACATACGAAAATCGCTTAAGAACATTTRATGGAGTGTGGAAATTACAATTTATTACACCTGACCAAATGGCTAAAGCTGGATTATATTACTTGGGCATACAAGATCGTGTTAGATGTTTGTTTTGTTCTACAGAATTTGATTATTGGCAACATGGTGATGATCCAGTTGTTGAACATAAACGTCAGTCTCCACAATGTCCATTTTTTAATGATTCTTCTGGTAAAAATCAAATACTTACTTAAATTTAATACTTTTGTAATCTGATATGAAATTCAAGTTGATTTCAAGATAAATATCTTGTCAGTTTAATAACAAAACTTTAATCGTACTAGAATTATAATAAAAAAGAGAACTTATTCATTAATTGAATAGTAATTTTCTAATTAATTACAAATAGTTACTAGATTAGTTATTTGCAACCTTTTTAGTTCTGAGGGCCACCTATTATGTTTAAAAAAAATTGCTTTTTTAGGACCGTTTTCTTAATATACAGGTGTAAAATATAAACACATATACTTGTATAATTAGTTTAGAGGGATTGGGCCCATGGGCTGAGACTTGGGAAATGAGCTTGATTTTAGGATCTACTATTAACATTTTTATTTCATACTAAAAACCTTTTACCTGTTTATACATAGACATTGCTTGTATTAACTTTGCTCTATACTGTTTTATTCACAAAAAATACACTATTATTTAATGTTATGTCGAAAATTGAAGTACTTTTAATAATTTAGTGATAATGATGGTCATTAGTTAAACATATATTTTTTAAGTTTTCTKTAAATGAAGCAAATATGATCAATTCTATCTGAATATTGGTTCTTGACAGTTGTTTTTCATTAAACTGGTCAAATAATAATTATATCCRCATCATTGATACTTTAATTGGTACTACATTTGTGTACTATTAATTTATCCTCTGGAATACATAGTTTGGATTTTGATCCAAAAGAATTTATATTAGGGATTGATTAGGATGGAGCAAATATTATTATGAAAACTTAATAAGACATTTAAAAAAGAAAATGTTATGGTTAGTCAAATTCATTTATAAATTATGTTATAATAAATAATAAATAAATTATTAATAAATATAAAATTGTTTGTGTGATAAGTTATTATATGAATAATAATTAAGTAAAAGTTAAAGTATTGCATTTTTATTTAAAGATATAAACATGCAGATAACTAAAGTATATCATGTCAATATTCAGTATTATTATAGTTTGCTTAAAATTACTAATTATTTTTATTGTATTTTTAGCTGGTTATGATGTGTGTGGTCTATATGGTTCTGCTCCGGATGATGTCCGATCTAATCATGAGTCAAAAAAGGTTCAAGATTTTTTAGATTCTGTTGGTATTCTGCAACAAATAAAATCACCTAAGCATAAAGATTTTGCTACCTTAGAAGCACGCTTGAAATCATTTGAGAAATGTTTGATACCATTGAAACAAGACATTCAAACCCTATGTGAAGCTGGATTTTTTTACATAGGTAAGTTGATAATATTTTACTTTACTTGTTCATTTATCATATTGATGTTCTTTTAATTTTTTTAGGAAGTGGTACAAATGACCAAATGCTATGTTACTACTGTAGTCAAGGACTTAAAGACTGGGAAGATGATGATGAACCATGGACAGAACATGCCAGATGGTCAGAAACTTGTAATTACGTGTTGTTAAATAAAGGTAAAAACTTTGTCGACAAAGCATGTGGTGTGACTAGCACAAAATTCAATCCAACGGTAATTTGATATTTTGTTTATCACTATGGATGGAATATTAGAAATTTACCCAAAATTGTATTATAGGAGTTATTCAAGCTAATTGCTGAACATAAAGATACATCCATTACTGAAAATAATATGAAAGTAAATTCRACAAAAAGGTATGATTCTTAAATAATAATTTAGTCTAATCATTCAATAAGAAAAGCATTATTGATTTCAATGCATTTTCAATATCTTATAAGTTTGGAAAATTAGAAATTTGAATCCAGGTTAATATTTAATCCAAGTCGTTGAAATTAATGATAACATTACATTCCAATGTTTATATTATAAAAAATATAAACTACATTAAAAATTATTATTTTTTAATCAGGATTCTCATTGTCTGTCAACATCATATACCTAGGTATTATACCTTGAATCATAGGCGTGCGCAGGCCTCTTTTTCAGGATATGCAGAAGGCTGACAATAGCGCGCCCTGAAAGTTATTTTAGGCTCGTAAAATTATGATAATATGTATACACAATTCACAAATATTGAAAAAACCTACTGTTTAATTAAAAAAGTATTGTAATAAATACCATTACATAATGCAAGAAGTATGTATTTCGCAAATACTTGGTAGTTGATAACTGATAACTGGATGTTTCAATTTTACAGAGTCGATGTTCGCCCCTCACAGAACTTCAGGGTATGCAGCTGCATACCCTGCATACCCCCTGCGCAGTGCGCACGCCTATTTCATGAATATAGTATTTTGTCTAGAAATTTAGTTCATTAGTTAAATATTACAATGCACTCAAATTTGTTACAATCATGTTCATAAAATGCATTTTATTGCTTGGTTTCCAATTAATTTAACATTTGAATACACCGCAAAAAGTTTTCTTTTACATTTTTTCAAGCACAATATTATATGTATTAATCTGTTTATATTGATAAGATATTTTTTTTTTACATTTTTTGTTTTTATAGAAAACTTGATCAGCCACATATTTCTAACATATCTCAAATTAAAATATCAATTGTCAAAACAGAACATCTTTGTCAAAAGCGAGATCCTAATACAATTCCAGATTCCATGCTGTGCAAAATATGCTATAAAGAAGAAATGAAAGTGGCTTTTATCCCTTGCGGTCATGTCATTGCATGCATTCAATGTGCTCTAACACTTGAACAGTGTGCTGTATGTAGACAGCCRTTTAGTATGGTAATGAGAGTACACTTATCAATGGATGAAGAAAAAGTTAAAGATCTCRAACAGTTGCCATGCAGTTCATCACAGTGTTTAGACGGACAATTAGACCCAATGCTTTGCAAAGTATGTCATAAAGAAGAAATGGCAGCTGCATTCATACCCTGTAAACATGTTTATGCTTGTGTCAAATGCGCAGCAGATATGCACGAGTGTCCTGTATGCACAGAATGGTTCTGTGCCACTATTCAAGTTTACTTATAGGGCTAGTAAAATTACTGCGACATTGTGTGGTGAAAACCATTCTAGTCTTAAATATTAATTTGTGTAATTTATTTTAGTTTAAAAACTTAATTTTTGATAAAATATAACAAGCACCAAAGTGGGCTAAATATCCCTATGTAAATGTACTAGTATTTAAATTCAAAAAAAGGTAAAATAAGTGTAAAATTACTATAATGATTGATTATAAATACAATTGATTTATAATATTTACAATCAATGGTATAATGTAATAACTTGGATGTTGGTATATTGATCATTAAAATGATGCTGAGTTTACCAACTAAATATTTAAAATACTAAGATTGACATAGATACGTGGTGTTCAAACAAAAAGGGGGTGACGCGTAACAAGTAAAGACAACGTTCGTGAGGAGAGAACAATAAAAAAAAGGGCGCGGTGTAGTGATGGGCACTATCGAATAATTTGATAGTTTATTCAATACTGTTATTCGAATAATTTGATATATTATTTATATAATTTGTATTACTCAAATAATTCGAATAATTTCATATTATTTAAATAATTAAATATTATTCGAATAGTTCGATATTATTCAAATAATTAGAGACTATTCAAATAATTTGATACTATTATTAACTATTTAAATAATTCGATAATTCAATATTAATAGAAAATATGTCGGCTAAAATTGAAATGCTTAATACGATGTGTTAAGAATATAATAAAAAATAGATACGTATTAGAAACGTTTGTTACTCTGTTTAATGTTTATATTTACCATATTTATATAATAAACTTATACTAGCAAATTTCAGAAGGTTTTTGATTTACTTATACTTAGCTACCCATGAAATGTTTAGTATTTTTAATCACCAAATACAAATCGCTTTTTTTAAACTTAAAATTTCAATTATTTTTAAAACGTTCAATTTCAATATAATTTATATTAATAGGTGGGTGATAATAGGTGACCACATTAGAAGTAGGTATAGACAACCAAAAACACATTAACACATTAATTGACTTTGACTTTATTTGAAAATTGACTATGACAATGTTATCCAAATACAATATTMACCAACCAACAAATGTTTGATAACTGTACATTTGTAAATGTACCTGTTATATTTTTATATTGGTACTTATTTTTTTTTAGTTTATTAATGTAGAACGTAAAAACTTTTTTAAAAATGTTATAATATAATGTGGCCATATCCACATATTAATATCAATTATATTGAAATTGTGCGTTTTAAAAAGAATTGAAATTTTAAGTTAAAAGTAAGCAATACAATTTGGTGTAGTACCAAAGTTAAAATACCTAAATTTGATTGGACTAAATACTGTGTGTTATTTTTACTGATCAATCCTGAAGGTAATCATTGGACTTTATTTATTATGGACTTCATTTTGGGCTGTTTGTTTTACTTGTGGATCCTATGCGTCCAGAATCAGGTTACTTATACTTACCTCAATTTAAAAAAGGCGGGTGAGTCGTGGATTTCGCTCTGCTGTACAGTAGGTTACTGTAATGGGTGGAATTAAATTTGAATCCAATGATATTATATCATTGTATACGAAAAACGATTCTGAG